TGGGCAGGGACACCTCCCACTAGCCCAGGTTGCCCAAAGCCTCATCCAGCCTGGCCTTGAACCCCTCCAGGGATGGGGTGAAGTTCTACTTCTTGTGGCTCAATAATCGCCTGTTGAGAAATGCCAAGGCATTGTGAGTATTACTCTAAACGTAGAAGAAAAGGGGGAACTTCACTGAAAGAGTGCTCAGGCATTGGAACAGGCTGCCCAGGGACGTGGTGGAGTCACCATCCCTGGAAGGGTTCAAGAAACGTGTAGATGTGGTGCTTGGGGACATGGGTTAGTGGGTTGGGTGGTGTTGGGTTGATGGTTGGCCTTGATGATCCTTGAGGTCTTATCATTCTTGAACCTGTCATTAAGTCGCCATTCTAAACAAACCTTAAACTGCTAACAGCCTTGCTTTGCCTCACACCCCCCCCAGTGAAGCTCAAATCACTGCTAAACCACAGCTGCATGAGAGATTTCATCCACGACAGCAGCAGGTCAGAGCTGGGTTTTCCAGCCAAGCACGGTGCATCTGAGCCCCACAGCTCTACCAACACAAGAAATGTTTTCCTGTGCGGGGGGTGGGACACTGGCCCAGGCTGCCCAGAGAAGCTGTGGATGCCCCATCCCTGGAGGGGTTCAAGGCCAGGCTGGATGAGGCTTTGGGCAACCTGGGCTAGTGGGGGGGGGCGCTGCCCATGGAAGAGGGCTTGGAACTGGATGATCTTGAAGGTCCCTTCCAACCCAAACCATTCTGTGATTCTATGATTCTATTAAACCATCCCCTCCCCGTTTCTTCCAGCCGCCCTTACAGCACAGGACCAGTGAGCTCGGCCGATGCACCGGCCTGGGCGTGGGCACGGACAGCCTGGCGTCGCAGACAGGAGAGGGAGGGTCAGGAAAATGCATGTGTGCTTTATTCATGGATATGTTTGAATATTGACATGTACAGAAGAGATAAGTACAGGTTATCCCTGGTGGTACAGGCAGACATCAGCCATCCTCCCCGATGTGCACGCATCCACACACGCAGCCTTTAGCATCCCTCTGCCACCCCCCGGGGTTATTGCTCCAGCACCGGCTCCCCGCTGCGGCCTCTCCCTCCTTGCTTTGAGGATGATGTGGTATTTGTATATATACAATATTTCATGGGCTTTCAAGACTGCCAAACCTCTGGGAATGGTGCTGAGCAGCCAAAAAAAAAAAAAAAAAAAAAAAAAGTTCAGTGGCTGCAATAAGTTTGGCTGTTCTTTTTTTTTTTTCCTTTTCATTTTTTTTTCTTTTTTTTTTTTTTTTCTTCTCATGCCTCTTCTTTGTGCTTATGAAAGTCCCCAGGTATGGAGTAATTCCTAAAAAATTATCTCCCTTTCTGTCTGTCTTGGCTTGCTCAGTCCTTTGCCTTTCCAAGCAGCTGCTATGACTTTGGTAGTTGGTCAAGAGGCTTAAAAGTGAAGATCCGTGGTTCACTTCACAGAGCTCAACAGAGATGAGATTTCCTCCAAAAAGAAATAAAAATTACTGATTTTTCACATGGGAAAAGAAATGTCCTGTGTGAGCATGTGGTTGGGGGTGGAGTGGATGTAATTGTGTTTCCTGCCTCCAAAAGGACTGCTCAAAAGCCGTCTTTTTTTTTTTTTTTTTTTTGACGAATTTGATTCGTGAACAGGCTTGGAGGGGGAATTGGCATCAGATATTGGCAAAATGGGGGAAAAGATCAGGGAAAAGTCACACAGGTGTTGGGATTTTTTTTTTTTTGATTTTGTGCAATTTTCTTTTGATTCTGCCCATCCCAGCCTCTTGGCTCTTCCCTGCTGGGCAGGAGGCTCGTTGCTCTGTGCTTTACTCCAGAGCATCCCCAGATCTTGGGGAACCCTTGGGAGAGCAGAACCTGGCCTGGGACAGTGCTTGAAGGGTGCTGTATACAAACTCCCCGCCCAGGATGAAGACTGAGGACAGGGAGCACATTTTCAGACCTACACCTCAACTTCTGAGGTCCCTCAACCAAGAGCACGAGGAGGAAACCCCTCTGACAGATCCCAGCAGATCATTGCCGTGTTTTTTGACCTTCTCATGGGATGCCTCTGTGATATGATCCGTGGTAGTTGGCTGCCACCTTCTCCAGCCTCGGGGCACTTTTAGCTGTTGGCTTGTCACCCTCCCAAAATTGAGGACTTGAGAAGACACCGCAATGGGAATCGATGGTCGTGTTGGTCTGTGATGCTTTGAGACAAAGAACATCCCAAGGAGTCTTAAAAGCAAGATATAAATCCGGGGGAGATGATGATGTCTCTCATTGGAATTGTTAAAAACCATTTAAGATAAATCAGCCAGAAAGTGTGAACAGCCCATTGGTCCTGCTGTGGGACATGGTAATGGACTAGGTAACCTCTGGAGGTCTCCTCCATCTCTGGCAGTCTGTGAGGAGGGTTCTCCACATTTATTTTTCACGTCATACCCATCCTAAGCAAGAGCTTAAGTGGGGTTTCCAGTTGTCCTGACCACCTAGAAAAAAATCTGTCTCTGCTGGCCATCAATCAGAGAAGGAAATGACAAAGTGGCATCTCAACAACACCGCTAGTGGGTTGTAAGAGACACAGGAGCGGAGCCATGAGAGACAGCAGGGGTGGGTACTCCTGGAAAGCAGCTGCCACCTCCATGCCCATCCTACGCAGAGGCTCACCCCGTGCAAGAAGATTAAAGGCTGGTGGAGACCTGACCTGCTGGGGCCAGAGGTGTAGAAGAACGGGGCATGACTACAGGACTTGGGGAGAGCGGCAGAAGGTGGCAATTTGCAGCATGACCTCATGATGTTGAGGTAGTTCCTTGCCTTTGAAGAGCCAAGCATCAGGTTTAATCCCTGTCTCACCCGTGCCTCAGAGGACACAGCTCATTGTTGTGTCACTTGGTGCACAGATGACTCCACGGTCTCTCCGAGGACACCGATGTCCTGGATAAAGGGGAGATGTTCATAGCAACTCTGATCTGGGTGAGCCCATTGGCAGTGAAGATTTCACATGTATGTTTCAGTTCAAGGTGTGACATGGCACCCTGCATGCAAGACTTGGGTCTCAGCATGTTCTTTTGCACAGCCCAGGATTAGGACAACCAGATGCTACAGCCCCAAGGACTTCAAGGAGCAGAACTTTGGCTAGGATGCAGCCAGGAGGATTTCCGTGCTTGTCTCTACACGTCCACAGGTGTTCATTTGAAAACAACTGTGGTTTCATATTGGACCAAAACCCAAGGAAGTTGCTGCAGTTTCTCAGCAAAACATGAAGAAAAAAAAAGCAACGGAAGGTGTTCTGCAGGGAATGTGAATTAAAAGCGCTGAACTCTGCTGTGTCAGCTGCTGCTAAGCCTTTCTATGCATCCAAATGCTAAGGAACTAATTACATTCCTTGAAGGAGCACAAACCAAAGAGAGAAATGGGCTGCTGCAAAGCCCAGGTCTAAATACTCAGGGAGAACCTGAAGCTATTCCTGTGCCTCCTATGGTGGTCAACCTGGGTATGAATTTTTCCTGGGAAACCTTCACACCCTTCCTTACCGTCTTCTTTCTTGGCTTGATCTAATGAGGGGTTCAGCCCCCAAAGAAAGTGCTGGGACTCCTCAGCTCACCTCCTCAATGAAAGACCTCTGAATGTCCAGGTAGCCTCCCTGTGCCCCAAGAGACCAGAGAGACATTTATCCTCACCCTGGGCTCTGGCTGCGGCTCAGTAGAGTTGGTCCCTTCACCAGCCTTTGCTTAAACCACCTCTCAGCTGAGTAATAAGCAGTTGGCAGGAGGCAATGTCCTTCATGTGCTAACCTGGACACGAGCACTTGCCTCCACCAGCTCTTCGAGGTGAGGAACCACAGCAATCCACTCCCGACTTATGACATGATTCATGACTTGGCCTTTCCAACAATTGGCTGGATATTTATGTCCCCAGAGTGGTATCTATGAAACCTCTTCTTTCTTGTCTCTTCTTTGCATAACTAATTAAACCCTCTAACTGAAGACCCTCTGGCCCTCCGCGAGACCGGCGGAGGCACAGGTAACGTGTGGGAGTGGGTTGTGTTGGGCTGGCGTTGGGTCCTGCCCATGGGCTCACACATTCATTCCTCATGAAGAAAGGTTAGCTTGGAGTGGGACAACATTGGCCTCTGGTTCTTTGGATGTTGCAAAAAAAATCCTACCCCAAACACCTCCAGAATCGGTGAATAGAGATGCTCGGGTTGGGACACGAAGAAAGCCAGCCGTAAACAAAATGCAACACATGTGTTTCTTCCTGAACACCATCGAGACGTGACACATTTCTCTAAAAAGGAGGGCCCTTGGGCTAGGTGACAGCTTGGAGATGCATGCTGGTTGCACGCTGGCCATGGTTTTGAGTGGGTGGATAATCCCATGCCAGCCAGTTTGTAGCATGGTTGCTTGGTCCACCCCAGCGGTGCTTCAGGACCCTCTCCGGTGAAAAAAACCAACCACCTTCTCACCAGTGCTCTGGTTTCTTCATTCTGAACCAGCTGGGCTGCCCTTCAGGTCCTGAGCAACCCTGGAGACAGTCTGAACTCCACATCACTTGATGTGTCCATCAAGAGACCCCCAACTTGGGTCAGGGCTTCATAAAACCTCCTGACAGGTCATCCATCAAAAGTCTTTCCCCTCTTGGCAGGCAAAAGCATTTCCTTTGCAGCTCTCATTTCTTGGCTCAACTCTCTCCTTCACCTTTTCCAAGGGAATTGTCCATGGCTCCGACCCCATCCACAGAGAGCTGGAGAGCCAACAACCAAGCTGTGGGGTGGAAAGGTGGCCAGGAGCAAGAATGAGCTGGTTGTCAATGATGCTGATTGTATAAAATCAAATAAATTGGCAGACGGATGAGGAGGAGGAAGGGATGCCCACACGCTCACCTCTCCTTCCCATCCCCTCCCTCCTCCCTCCCCTCCCGCCGAAGAAAAGTTACTGGTCTGGTTGTTTTGTAAAGAAACCAACACAAAGAGAGTCTCTGCCTGGCGTGTGCCCTCCCTGCTTCACATCACGAAGAGGCTCAGCACGGCAAGAGCGAGGAGAAGCCGCATCGGGAGCGGAGAGGCTGCCCAGAGGGATGGAGCTGCTGGGCTGGAGGTTCCTGACGACAGGCGAGTGGAGCCCCGCAAGAGCCTCTCCTCTCCGGCCACCTGCAAGAGAACAGAGGCAGCACGGGGTGAGTGGTGTGGTTCTTCCCCACCGCCCTGGTTTCAGAGCTAACTTTCTTCCCAGCAGCTGGTGAGAGGCTGTGTTTGGGTTTAGAGGCTGCCCAGAGGGATGGAGCTGCTGGGCTGGAGGTCCCTGACGACAGGCGAGTGGAGCCCCGCAAGAGCCTCTCCTCTCCGGCCACCTGCAAGAGAACAGAGGCAGCACGGGGTGAGTGGTGTGGTTCTTCCCCACCGCCCTGGTTTCAGAGCTAACTTTCTTCCCAGCAGCTGGTGAGAGGCTGTGTTTGGGTTTAGGACTGAGACCCAAACTGGCCAATGGTCTATTCTATACCATGCACATCATGCCCAGTATAGACCTGCTCCTCTGTGAAAACAGAGTGGAGGGAGGTGAATCGGGTGTTTTCCCAGCAAAAGAAATAGGGAAGAGGTTTAAAAAAAAACAAACAACAAACCCGTGTGTGGAAGCTCTCTGAATTTATCATCTAGCCCCAGTGCAAAGCCCACGCTCAGCCCTTGGAGTCTAGTTAACTGACAGCTTCTGTTACCTGAACGTTCAGCAAATCAGGGTCACTGTTAATTATTCAACGGTAAAATAATTCAATCTGAAAATTACTCTGGTGGGTGGCAAATCAAGGTTGTTGCTTTTTATTTAAAAATAAGGTTTTTAATGCCTACTACTGCCATCATCAGTAAATTAATCTGTTAATTGTTTCAAAATAAATTCAGTTTAATATTATTTTGTTACTAACAATTTGCTGATGACTGGAACCTTTAATCTGAAATCTTCCAATGCTTAGCAAACCTTAGTGAGTCAAACCTCTACGTTATAACCTCCAGGATCCTCATCTAACAAGGGAAGAACCCGTGTCCCAGGCAGCTGAAATGCTTCTCTGACGCTGTGCAGCTGCCCTGCAGGAGAGTGGGGAGCCAAACCAGTGGTCCTGGCTCCCTTTCTACACTCCTAAAAAGCCCATAGACATTCCCAGTATTAAAAAAAAACAAAAACAAAAAAACAAACAAAAAACTGTATCACTCTGTAGCATCCATGAAAGAAAAGAGATGATCACCACCAGGCAGGAGGGCAGAGTCAGGGATAGGAGCGGGTAGCCCTGTGCTTGATGTTGGGGTAGAATATGGCTGGGCACAAAGAAGAAGGTGAATCAGGGACCCCAGGAGGTGAGGGAAGGTTGTATATCTGCAGGTAGCTGAAATGACACAGGTGGAAGCGGGAGCTGAGGTGAGGAGGGCTGGAGGGCATGGAGGAGGTATAGACATGGCCAAGCATCTCTTAGGGCCAGGTCAGCCCTCTCCTACCTTGGTGGGCTGGAGGTGCTCAAAGATGTTCTCTCTGAGGGTCGCCACGGCTCTGTTGGTGTTTCGCTCCTGCTTGTACATCTGTGTGGTTGGGGGGACGGATGGGGCCACAGCTGCATTCAGGTAGGTCCCATTGCCAAAGGCCAGGATGGCATTTTCTTTGTGTGGGAAGGAGATGGAGAAAAGCATTGTCAGGGCAACGTTTCCACGGGAAAGCACATGCATCCCTTCTCCAGCTTCCTTTGCATCACCCAAATGCATGCCCAAGGGTCTTCAGAGCTCCTTTGCTTAAAGCACAGGGAGCTGGACACCTATAGACTCTTGAGGGCATCTCCACACCCTCATTCAGAAGAAGCTTCATCAGCAGTGTGCGGGGTGATACTTACGGAGACAGATATTGTCGGTGAAGAGGTGCAGAAAGCTCTCACACTCTTCCTGCCGGTTGCCGCTGGCGTTGCACGTGCACCAGGGAGCTATGCTGGAAGTTGAGTTGTCGATGTAGTTGGGTGTGATGGGGCTGCCTGCCAGGAAGGATGGAGAAGTGTTACTGCAAGGCTGGTACTTCAAGAAGGGAAAATGATTTCCCTGCTTGCTGCTCTCTTGGGTTGCTCTGCTTCCAGCCTTGGCTGAGCCCCTCCGTGATGGGCTATCAGTCCAAGGAATGGGCAGCTCCTGGGAACTCAGGTTCCCAAATAACTTTCAAAACCTGTATCTGAATGTGACAGCTCCAGAATGGTCAGAGACAACAAATTAAGCCAGAATGATGTATTGACCCAAAAAGCTGTCAATCTGCCCCATCCATCAGAATAGACCAAGTCCAATGGCCATTGGTGCTTCTCTTTGGACTCTGTGCTTGTGCTAACTGCTGCCAGCTGGGTCTCTGCAGCATCTGAAAACCCAATTTGACATCTCTGGAGTCAGCAAGATGGCAGTGGATGGTGATTTCCAAGGGCATCTCAGCTCTGCACCTTACTGTCCTCATAGCTTTTAGCTGGCCGGAGTAAGAGGAGATGTTTCCCACCCAGAGGAGATGTTTCCCACCCCGAGGAGATATTTCCCACCTGAGGGATGCCGTCTCTTACCGATGATCCCCGTGTACGCCAGCAGACAGGCAGCGTAGCTGTCCCTCCGGCAGCCGCTCGCAGCCTGCGGGGACGGCTGGCAGTTAAACTGGAACTCTGCGTAGCGTGACCTGATGGAGCGAGAGTGCAAAATGGGACATTTTAGCACAGATATTTGGGGCAAAAAGGGATGTAATAGTGCACCGGTAGTGTTTTCACATTTGTAAAAATCCTTTGCTGCCATAGGTGTTGCTAAACCAGTTGGAATGAATGAATGTCAGGTTGTATTCTCCTGCCTTCCCACCCCAACAAACCCAGAAGTAGGTTTTATCCCTTTGAGATGAGACATGAGTAGGTGCTGTAGTTAATGTTTTACTGCAAGGAAGGTCCAGTCTTGGAAGAAATGTTTGTTTTGTGATGTGGGAATCTGGTTTTCAAGGGGAGAGCTGTTGCAGCCAACGAGGGAATTCATCCTTGTATTGCCATGATCTGACTCCTGGGTGACTCTGGCTCTCTTTGCATGGCCAAAGAAGGGCAACAAAGCTGGCGAAGGGTCTGGAGCACAAGTCCTCTGAGGAGAGGCTGAGGGAACTGGTGTTGTTCAACCTGGAGAAAAGGAGGCTGAGAGGAGACCTTATTGCTCTCTACAACTGCCTGAAAGGAAGGTGCAGCCACGTGGTGGTTGGTCTCTTCTCCCAAGTAACAAGTGACAGGACAAGAGGAAATGTCCTCAAGTTGAGAGGGGAGGTTGAGATTGGATACTAGGGAAAATTTCTTCACTGAAAGGGTTGTCAAGCACTGGAACAGGCTGCCTGGGGAGTGGTGGAATCACCGTCTCTGGAGGGATTTAAAAGACATGTAGATGTGGTGCTGGGGGACATGGTTTAGTGGTGGGCTTGGCAGTGTGAGGTTACAGTTGGACTTGATGATCTTAAAGTTCCTTTCCAACCTGAATGATTCTATGATTCTATAACTTCCTCTAGAGACCTAAACCTTCATTTTGGGTCTGTTTTGCCAGAAGAGAGAATCACTCCAGTCCAGTTTCTCTCTCTTCAAAGATTATGCTCTAAGGGTAGATGAGGTCAACTTCAGATTAAGGGAAATGCCCAAGGACTCAGATACGAAACACTCTAACCATCACCAGGGCTGCTGCCACATCCTCTGCTGTAGGCACCCATTCTCAGGAGAAGACTGGGCTCTCTGGAGCCTGTGGATCAAGAGGTTTATGACCACAGACCGCTGTGCCTCAGTTTTCATGTTGTCTAGGTCGAATCACCAAACCATTCCACTTGGCACAGAGCAGCTTTGAGTCAAACACTGGGCTTGTTGAGTCCATCTGGGCCATGCAGGGAAGCTGGTGCATCATTCAGACGGATTGCCAGATTGCTCTTTGCATGCTCCCCTGCTTGCTTGGTTGGATAAACTCTGGAAATCATGCTGCCAGCAAGATGTTTGCTATCTAGTTCTTTAGGGATGAGTTAGTTGTTGGCACACAGGCGTCTAGTGGTGTTTGGACGTTGTAGGATAGCTAAGACATCCACATGGGGCTTTCAGGTAGGACGTAGGACTTGATGGAGATGTCCTAGATGTCACCAAGGTGAAGATCCAAATCCATCTAAACAGGCATCCCGTGGTCAGGTAAGAAGGCATCTCAGGTGGCATTTGAGATGCTTGGGAAACTCAAGCAAGCACTAGCACTGCCGACACTTGATGGCAGGGCTCTTTAGATGACAACCTGCAGTGTCTGAACGGTGAACTGGGCACCTCAAATGTTTGCTCTGCCTGGATCTTCTCAGAAAAATCTGTGCATGTTGCTCCTCCCAGACAGTCTCTCTCTTCCAGACACTCTGTCGGTGCTCCTGGTCAGTGTCAGCACTCTGGCTTGCGCTTTCCTGCCCACTTCTCTCCTCCTCCCCAGTCTTCTCCTTGTTTTCTCTTCTTTGTTCTCATGTTTGCCCCATACCAACCCCTTTCTCCTGTGCCATGGCCAGGCAAACTCCTCTTGCCTAAATTTTTCCTGCATTATTTAAGGGAGGGAGATACCTATTGCAGGGCTTGTATCATCCGTGTTTCTAGAGCCCACCCCTCCAAGCTGGGAAATTCAAGGGGTTGCAGCTGTGGAGAAGCTGCAGGAGGACTCAGCAGTGCAGGCAGGGTTAGCCCTGGAGTATTTTACTCTGTTTCTTTAAAGTGCCAGGATTTGTTACTCTCTCCTTGTGGTTTCTGCACTGCTAGCTTTGACCGGGTCACACATCAACCCCTTGCTCCTGACATGTCTCTAGAGGATGTTTTATATTATATATTCAGAGACCAAGGAACCAGATAATTAACAGCTGTGCTTGCTTGCAGGAAATAGTTTCCATCCTCCTGGGAAGCAACACTCTCCCCTTTGAACCTCTTCTTCCCTGCTTGTCTTGTTAGGGAGAGGGCAGTACCCATCCGTTTCGGATTCCCTGGGTAGCCAGGGGAAGTCTGAGCAAGAGCTGGTGTGGGTCGGGGGCTTTGCACCTTTCAGAGCCAGCTTCGGATGTATAGCTCAGTTGTTCTCCTTCATCCACATTTCTGGAGTACAGAGGGGTGTACCTGTTTTTAGTACCTGTTTTTCCTTCCAAGAGAATGCTGCTGCTCTCACTTCCCTTTGTGAAAAGATACAATTTTTTAATTGTAATTTAAATATGATGTGCTGATAGGGAACAGCTGCTGGAAGTTAGCTCAGGAAGTCCCAAAACCCATTATAATTACAGACTGGGGCAATACTTGGAGATGTGTCCTACACTTGCTCTTGTGCTCTTCTCCAGGTGTCTGCTCATGGCCACGGCTGCACACAGGACACTGGGTTGGGACCACCACGTCTGGTGAGTACGGCTGCTCTTACGTCTTACATCTCGTACTGACAGATGGGCTTCACTCCTGAGAGCTGTATGTGGAGTAACCTTCTGGACTATCAAAGACTTTCTGAGAAACAGAGAGGTGAAAATAGCACAGCTGAGGGAAAAACACTTAAGGGGTCTTCCTGTGAGCGTGGACATTGGGATGGGTCTGTGCATGTGTGCATGCACGGGACTGAAAGGGAAACAGAGGAGCAGACCACCCTGGCTGCCTACTGTGTGGTGGATCTGGAGTGAGAACAGTGACTGAGACTTCTACTGCAGTCACTAAAACATCCAGCTTTGCAGCAGAAGGTTATATTTTTTATATGTATGATAAATTTTTCTTATTAAAAAAAGGAGAAAGCCATGGTTTTAAGGTATCTACAAGTGCCTGTGACTGTGAGGATAACTTGGATGCTCCTGTAGGATGCTCTGAGCTAGGGGAGGTGGACAGTGAGGAGACTGATGAAAGTGGCTGCAAGCACCGCAGCCCTGGTTAGCTTGCACCTTCCTGGAACTATTCCCATAGCAGGTGTTTCTTTAGGATCAAAGCCAAAAACCCATAGAAAAGGTCCGAAAAACTCCAGCACAAACATCTCAGTTCTTCTCCTGTCTGTTAATGCCTTCTGTACAAGAGTATGGTCAAGGACATGGGTCATGGGAAGGAGCCACTCAAGCAGTGGCCTATGTCAATGGGTTGTGGTGGGATGGGTGCCTCCAGACAGCATCCTTCAGGCAGGTGCATTGGCTCTGGTCACCAGGCTGTCACCAGTGGATGAACCCCAGTCTTGTCCAAGGGCCAGCTCTCCATGGTGACCACCCTGGTGTGAGAACCTTACCTGCAAACGTAGTTTTCCCGGCATGAGTCCAGAGGCGCCAGGCAGTTGGGCTTCTCCTTGGACTCGTAGGAGCAGGCAGGAACGATGGTCTGCCGCCGGCGTTCGGCACAGGCCGTGTCATCGCAGGGGCAGAAGAGCAGCTCGTGGGTGTACTCGGGTGGCACGCGGTCGAAGAACTTGCGCAGAGCCTTGTGGCACTTGGAGCGATTGCAGGTGTCGGCCCGGGCCAGGCGCCGGATGCAGAAGGAGACGTACTCTGTCCGCAGCCGCTGGCACATCTCGTCCACGTTGCAGGCTTTGGCAGCATCCAGGCACCTGTTCACCTGGGTCACCTCGTTCTCAGACCCTGTGGGGTGGTGGGAGATGGTGATGGGGTTTTGCGCTGACCTCCGCACCAGCAGCATCACCACCCTATGCACCACCATCCCCATCCTGCTCCCATCTGTGGCCACCTTGGTGAGGTGACCACCACCTCTGGGAAGGCAGTGGCCAGGGTGAAGTCCACATTTGGTTTCTGTGTCCCAGCAGGGCCAAATTCCCCTTCCATACTCACCTTCCCCAGGAGGTGCCATGGCCACACAACAAACCTCACACCCCTGAGACTACCCCACCGAGCTCCTACATTTATGAAATGAAGCTTTGCTCTACCTTGGGCGTCTTATAACACTTTACCAACATGAATTAACCAGCCTGAGTCCTGGGAAGACAGCAGTTATTAGAAAGTGCGTCTATTTGTGGCCATGGCTGGATCCACCAGTGTGATGGGATCTCTTCTAATGGACCTTCTTCCAAAATATTGCCGAAGACCAAACAATAAGTCAGTGTCAAAGCTGGGTCTCCTGATACGTGGGTGGTCTGCACTAACACTTGCGCTCCATCCTCCCTATCATGTGCAATGAGTTTCCTTCAGGTCTCTGGAGGCTCAAATTGTCTTTGGCAGCAGCAGTATTATGTTCATTCCAGGACCTGCCCAACTGAGTGAGAGCTGTCCAGTTCTCAAAGCCCCACAGCAGTGCTCTGGTTTTCCCCATCCAGACCAATCCAGCCCAGTATGCCCACCTTCTAAGCAGTGACACCACCTGTATGGGATGGGGATCAACCATCCTACAACCCAACCTGATGCTCTAGGACCTTGATGCTACCTGCACGTGAGCACACGTGGGTATCTCTCCACACCCTTTGCAAGGTCACCTCTTTGCTGGCTTCAGTGAAATCTCTCTACATTTCCATCCTCTTAACCAAGAGAGGAACAAGAGTCCAGGATTAGCAAAAAAAACCCCAACAAAACCTTGCAGCAGAGGGAACAATCAGGAAAATAAAGCAAAAACTATGGCGAGCAATGAAAAACACCCTGTCTGCGGTAGGCAAATAGGGGTCTGGTGAGTTTATATGCCAACGACCTCCTCTGCAAATAGGCAATAGATAAGAGTGAAAGATATTTGTATAAAGCTGGTTCTAGGGCTCTTTCAAAACTGGTTAGGGCTCTTTTTGCAGAGGGGGGAAATGCTACAGAGTCCCCGGTAGGAGTCAGTTGAGGCTCTGTCTGATCGGAGAGATAAGGTGAGGGTCCTCCAAGCGTGAGTGAGAAAATGAATTTGAAGCCATTTTTCACCCCTCTGAATTAAGCCCATGACCTGAAACACAGTAGAAGGACTTTCTCCCCAGCAGAGAGGATTTTTCACAGGAAAAATCCCCAGAATGTTAAATTTCCAATGCAGAGTCAAGCCCTATCTTTGGCCGGGAGTTAAAGCCAGCCAGTCACTGCTGACAAGTGTTGAAACATTGGCAGTCACTCCGAGCACTTCAAAACTGGCTGCCCTCCTTCATTTTCACTGACGTTATCAGATTCTCCTTCTCCGAGCATTTATTTTTTTCCTTTCCCCTTGTCCCCACTGTTTGCAGTGAGCTGGAAGTCAGATTCCAACTGATGCTCAGTGTGTTCCTACGGCGTAGGTACTTCCCTTGAAAAATGCCCAGAGATTAATATAGTTAGAGCATCGGTTTATGTTGGGGAGCTGTCAGCAAATGTGTAGGAAACAGTTTCTGGGAAAGGTTTCATTACCCATTCCGTTAATGAATCACAGAGAACACACGAGCTTTTCTCCTCTTCCCACGCAACAACGGAGGATGTGCTTTTAAAAATCACCACTACAATTAGAGCAGTGGGATTAATTCCATTTGTACATTTTTTAATAGCGGCCATATATTGTTTACGCAAAACTGGGTTAAAAATAAAATATCTGTTGCTCTGACTTGGCTTGGGGTCATGGGGATGTCTGATGTTTTAACAAGTTATTGGGATTTTATTATTTTTTTTTGGTGGATTTGGAAGAGGGTCCTTTGGCGATGCTGACTGTATAATATTGGACACTGGACAGGCACAAGGCAGCAGGTCATAAGATGTGTTATAAAAGGTATTGAGTATAAATAGGGGAAAAAAAGGTTAAATGAAGAAATGTCATGTCCCTAGATGGATGCTGAGTCCTTATAGCCCTGCTAGTCTGGTCCCATTTGTTTTGTTGCCCAACAAGTTTCAGTCTGCTTTAAGAACCTGACAATATGTGTTTAACCATGCATAAAAATCCCTATTCCTGGATTTCACCGTGCTCTGAAGAGCCCTGTAGGACCTCCAGTGAAAGAGGAAAACTCTTGTACAGGAGGCCATGACCCGGCAAACAGCTTTGTGCATGCTTCACTTCTGTGCACAGATCAGTCAAGTAGAGTCAATAAGAAGATGTCAGGTCAGGGAGCACCCCCCTCTTTCCCCTTGCTGTTCAGATTGTTGAGGGCTGATGGGTTAATTTGCTCCTGGACATTTTCACCTAACAAGCGCCTCGCTATCTCGGGGACTGCAGCCATCCATCGGCTGCAGCGATGTGCTGCTCCTTGCTTGCTTGGCTGCACCCCAGCTGTGGATGCCACCCCAGGGTCAGGTGCACATTTGGGAAGAGCTGCAAGAGGACAGATGTGTTGGCACATCTGCCAGAGTACATTACCTGCTCCCAGACGGGCAGTTTGTTAACAAAATTCACCATCGATAAAGCTTCCCCACGGCTGTGGTGCATAAGCAGAGCTGAACGGTGGTTGTGGTGGCAGCCGTGATGCTGGTGATGGATGGTTTAATAGCCACCGTGCTGACCTTTTAACTGCTGAGCTGGGGGTTCATGCCCTCGAGGGGGTTAAAAGGTGTTGGGCAGCTCTGCTCACGTTGTTAAGCAGATTACACTGTGCAGAGCAGAACATGGGTCTGAGTCCTGAGGTTGCCCTCAGGGCACGGGGTTAATGGCTGTGGCTGGGATCAACCAGTAGGTTGGGTTATTTTTTCCCTGCAGAGTTTGACCCTGTGATGATTGTGGAAGTACATTCTCATACCTAGCGATACCCAAACAGCTCCTGCTCGGCAGGGTGTCTACATGGCACAGGTCATCCACCTGCTATGGAGAACCAGCCCACCTGTGATGGCTCATTGGAAGAAGCCTTCCTGCCATGTCCCTCAATACAGACATGAAAAAGCCAAAGAACAAAAATTACAAGTGTTTCTTCCTAGGACATGTTTTACCAACAGTTTAGCCCAGGAATGATAATCAGCTTCTTGGAAAAATTATTGCAAGGTCTCAGCAATGTTTTGTCAAGAGACCATAAAGGACTGCCTTATCCATAGTGCTTGAACCAGTCAGTGTAAGAGCATCTTCCCACCCTCCTACCTGCAGTGATGGATGCCAGCCGGACGTAATCAAAGCCTCTGATGAACGGCTCGTAGGGGGAACTCTCCAGCACGTTCATGCCTGGGTTGAAAAGAGAAGTTAGTGAGAAGGCAGCTGAGGCACCTGAGGGATGTCCGAGACGTATGAGGTTCAACAGATGCAGTGCAAGTTGGTTGGTGGGTCCAAGGGGACATGTGCTCTAAAGGCCATAAGTAAATGGATACTGACTCAGGAGCTGATGTATGGCCGTATCCTTAGAGATATAAAAATACATATCTAAAAATACATCACGGCTTTGGAGTAGGACAGCCTCTCAGGGAACTGTTGAGTTGCAACCCTCTACAGCTCAAGTCTTGGACCCCTTTACAGGGATTGCCACTAAGGATGGCAGACTGTAGCACAGGCTCTGGCTCATGGGCAGAGTTCAAACCATCAGCTCCCTACGTACATGGGGTTTCCATCACCATTCTTGCTGTTTCCTATATGTCCCTCCCTGGGTCAATGGTCCTCCCCTGTTTCTAGGATGCAGCCAGGGCTGTCTGTGTGGCAACACACACATCTTTGTATTTATTAACACCTCTCCCCTTCTCCTTGCCAGCAGCTCTTTCTTACTCAGCATAGAGCTAATGACCCGCAGCTCCCACAGAAACTTCCCCTCTTCATTTTGAAGTTGCTGGGAAGCTAATTTTATTCAATCGGTGCTTCCCTTTCATCCGCTCAATGGTCTGTAATGCCCCGTCATCCTGATGGATACCATGGAATATTATTGTAGCAAACAGCTCAGTATCGTTTGTTTTTTTATGAGACATTTAGATGGATATGGACAGCAGCAGCAGATGTACTGGCTGGGATAAAAGGACCATCAAACCTCATGCTCGGGGCATATGCTGATCACCAGCTGCGGTCAGGAAGAAACGGCTCCCAGGGTACGCAGCCGCGTGCAATTACCACAGGTGCATTACAAGGCAGCTTTTACACCTTCATTGAAATATCTTGCATCGTTACTGACTGGAGAGGGGCCCATTTGTATGTTCAGCGTAGCAGTTTTATGTCCTGATGATATAGCACCTTATCAGAGAATTGTTATTGGGTTGTCATCGTGTTATTGTGTCTCCAAATGGGAAGGTGGCTAAACACAGGCGTGCTCAGGAGAAGCTGAGTAAATAGGATGCTTTGTAAATTCCCTGAGCACACACTTCTACAATTGATTTTATAAGAGGGCTTCTAGGAAGCTTTTTACAGCCTCCTGGGTATGTATGACTGAGAGACAAAGACCTACACGGGGCATGCGGGTTGGTTTCCTTCCTCAGTCAATTAAACATGTGTAAGGACCCTGAAACATGTGACTATTACGAAATATATCCCCTGGGGGAAATTAAGGCAAGGAAGTCAGAGCTTTGAGAGTGTGAATCTGCATTGCAAGTGAAGTCAGTGCATGAAAAAATGTGGGGCTCAGGGCACAACAGCAGAGAAGCTGGGCAGAGCCTTGGCAGTCTCCCATAACAGCGCTCTCACAGTCATCCCCAAGATGTCTCAAGCTGCTGGGCAGGAAACCCATCCAGCCCGGCCATCCAGCAGTAGTCCATCTCCCACCAGCCCAGGTTGCCCAAAGCCTCATCCAGCCTGGCCTTGAACCCCTCCAGGGATGGGGCATCCACAGCTTCTCTGGGCACCCTGGGCCACTGCCTCACCCCCCGCACAGGAAAACATTTCTTCCCAATATCTCAGCTCAATCTCCCCTCTCTCAGCTTCAAACCGTTCCCCTCATCCTGTCCCTGCACCCCCTGACCCAGAGCCCCCCCATCTCTCCTGTAGCCCCCTTTCAGCACTGGAAGGTGCTGGAAGGTCTCCCCGGAGCCTTCTCTTCTCCAGGCTGCACACCCCCAACTCTCTCAGCCTGTCCTCGCACGGGAGCTGCTCCAGCCTCGGCCCATCTCCGTGGCTCCTCTGGACCTGCTCTAGCATGGAGAGGCTGGATTGCCACCTCTTCCCCAGGCTCCACTTCAATGGAAACAAATTCACCTGGCAAGTAATTATGGGAGGGATTGGATCCTGGAGGGTGCTGAGGTCTCTTATTTCCCCAGCCAGTTCCTATCACCCTGCTCTGCACTCTGCAAGGTGTGGTACCCAAAAGCTTTCCAGGACCTTGATCAAGCAGTTCTTTTTCTGGCAGGCCTGTGCATTATAGTCTCCATCCTCTTTGTTTTGCTTGGCCTTTTGACCTGTGTTATCACCCCTGCACCTTTCCTTTCAGCTATCAGCCAGCAGTGTTTTATTAATCTATTTCACAGCCCATGCCTGGAAGGTTTTGTTTTATTCCCCATTTTAATTTTCATGGTGCATAAAATACTCACCAACCTGACAAGGAAGAGTTATGGCCACTGAGGTGCACTTTTATGATGACTCTTAAAAAACGTCAAAATCCAAACTTACTAAATACTGGCTCTGAGAACACTTTAAATTCCAGCTTGATGTCACCAGCCCCAAATCTTCACTAACCCAAAGACACTGGTGTATTTGAGAGCCTCCAAGAGAGCAATTTTTTTTTTAAGTTCATACTGTTTTTTCCTCAATGCCCATGTTTTTTTATAGTGTTTCTGTAAAATCTATGGCTTTCGTGCTCTTGGCTAACGTACTTACATGCAAAACACACAATGCATTTCCCAGCAAAAGATCTCAATGTATACTGGGTACATCATAAAAAAAGAGGCCAGGTTAAAAAAAAAGGAAAGAGGTGTCTCAGATTTTCAGGATTGCTTTCCCCAAAATGCCATTAGCATGGGGATCGGTAGGTCTTGAGAGGGAACGAAATACTACAGAAGTGACCTTTTAAAGCCATTTTGGTGCTGGGGAGCTCTGCAGAACACCCTAGCAGTAATTCCCTTTTAGGAAAATCATCAGAAATGAGTACCCTGCTCGACTGACCTTCCATCAGCGTGTGGTGGATGCTCCAGTAGACACTCAGGCAGTGCTTCTCCTTTTTCATGCCTCGCTTGCACTTGCAGCCGTACAGCTGGCTGGAGAGCAGAGCCGTCACGGTGCTCCGGCACTGGTTCTTGGCATCGGGGCCCAGCTTGTTGGCTCCGTTGCCTGCGATGCATTGCCGGAGGGTCCTGAATTTGGCGCTGCAGATGGGGTCGTTGGTACAGGACTCGCCTGCTTGAAGGCAGTCCCTGCTTGAGCTGACAGCTTCCGCCATGCCTTCTGCAAGAAAACCGGAGAAGTGGTGTGAGGGTGATGGAGCAACCCCAGGTGGGAAATGAATTGTGTCTCCCATGAGCTGGACCAGGCTGGGATTTCCATCTTCACATGCAGAGATGGAAATCCCTCTCGTCACCATCCACTCACTCTACAAGCAACGACCCTGCTTCTGAAATCTTTAAGCGGGCAGATCCCTCCCCAACAGGTCAGCTGGCAGCTTTGAATGCCCAGGCTTGCCACTCCTGCTCATGGATTGTTCACACAATGGAAAGCACTGGCTGCTGGAGTGTGCTGCAGCACTGCTCAGCAGCACCGCAAAGGAACAGGAATGGGTGAAAAGAAGGGACATTAAGGAGACAAGACACAACCTGAGATTCAACACCTCAACCCAACCTTCTCTCTCATATTGCTGGGTCACCAGCAGCAGTGGGATGTGTGTGGCGTCCAGCTGAGGACCCAGAAGGAGAGGTCACCTCTCTCCTGGAGACCAGGTTCCTCCTGATTTGAGAGAGTGACCCTGCACAGGGTCAGCCTGGAAGCAGGATTATATGTGTCAGAAACCCAACCAGCTCCTGGTGTTTGCTCTTTCCTGCTTGCAGCACGAAAGGCTTTCCAAACCCTTTTCTCTCCCAGCTCTCTATCTCATTTCTGCCCTCCAAAGTTAACAGCAGCCCAATGCTAAGGAGACCCCAGCTGCTCCTCCTTGCACACAATTTAACTCTGCCTACACCTCGCTGACGCTATGAATGGCTCTGTGTGGGGTGTTTTGACACACAGTCAGTCTACATGTGTCCCAGAAGTTGGCCCTTGTTCACTGTCACCACCTCCCCAGGACACCCACCATTTTGTCTTGGCTTTTTACAAAATCCTGCAAATTCTTCTCAGAGTTACTTGTAAAAATACAAAGGCAAATCACGCTCCTCCCAGTTGTAATGCTCTGGAGCATGTTGACACAGGTCAGGCATGACTGCACCATGGCTTGGGGGAGTGAGGAAGAGGGAAACCTGGTTTATGGAAGGGGAGAATCAATCCCTGTGCCTGTAAGTGTAATTTTGGATCCTGCTGTACTATAAAAACAGAAACTGCTGCTGTGACCTTGAAGGAGGACTTCTCAAATACTTCCAAAAAAGAAGTCCGTGTCCCTAACATAACTTGTCTTCCCCTTGGATAGGAACCAGAAGGGTAAGCACACCTTTCCCTTCACGGGCTAGATAAGGTGGAAACACCTTCTGGTTTTTGAGCCCCTCCAGGGTCTGTTCCTGTTGAGACCCAACTCAGACAATATCAGAAAATTCTCTATCCTGAGAAAAACATGGGGCCCTGATTTCCATCTCCAAGGGCTTCTTATCTCCCCTCTTTCCAAGAGTCTATTTATCTCTTCATAAAGTCTCTTTCTCCTCCTTCCACCTGCTACCTCTCCTGCCCTGCATTTCTGCACCTGCCTCTGCTGCCCTCCCAGTTCAGCGCTTGAGCCCAGTATATCCATTTCTCTTCCCTCAGCAAGTCTCAGGGTGTTTGCTAAGGAGGAGCTGCTTCTGTTGCTCTTGATTAGAGTAGAAGGTAGCAGCTGGAGTTCAGATATTTCAATTACGTTTATTACAAACTTTGGGTGAACCCACCAGGAGGTTTCCTCCTGAAATATCCCAGTGGCATCTCAAATGCAAAAACTTTCATCAAACTCCAGACTATTTCAAAGTGCCTCATGGCCAACGTCAAGCTTTCAGTTATTTCAAATCTCACAACACCTCAAACTGGAGTTTTCCTACCCCTGATTTATTCATAGACCTGGTTTATTTAGCACTCAGGGCTTGTTTGGATCTGCCAAATGTGGAGGGAGAAATTATTTCCAACATGTAGGAAACTCTGCCTTGGGCTGTCATATCTTGACGAACTCTGAACACAAGGAACCAGTTTCCTTGAAATATCATTTAGTCTGCAATTTCACTGAGATCTATAAAATGAGCCGGAGCTGCTCATAGTCTCTGCTTTCAGACACCACTGAATTTTCCACTCTGAGCAGAATTCATAGAGGGGGGAAAAAAGAATATTTTACCCTGGCTTTCTCCAAAGGATCTCCTCTGGACAAGGATAAAGCGTGGCAGTTTTTATTCTAGAGGAGATGACTTTGTCAGTGTCATGCTAGGAAAGTAGGTTAAAATTGAAATTACGACCCTCCTTCCCCCTCTCTGCTACATGAATTGCAGAAGATACTCCCCAGGATGGTTATAAACACAGCCGGAATGTAAAAGCTGTAAAACACTTCGGGATCCCACTTAAAAATAAATCAAACAGATTGACCATTTGAGAAATTTTCCTGCAAAATTTTAAGTAAATATATCCTCAACCTGAGACTTGCTTCATGGAAGAGAGGCCAGGGGTGAATATTTACAGCCCAAGCCCACAGCATAAAACATCCCCGTTCAGGCTTTGTGCCCGAGGTACTTGAAGCAACTTGAAGCAGAGCGTCACGAACGACCTGTTCCATAATCGTGTCACTTAAAACCCAAATCATTCAGGGACTTTTATTGTTAGCGATGTCTTTGCAACTGAGACAACATAACACCACGTTTTTCTGCCTCACACTACCCCTGAGAGAGTAATTTTATGCAACATTAAGAGAGTGCCTCTGAGGGAAGAAAAAAAAAAAAAAAAATCTCGGTGACTTATAAAATAGCTGGTGCATCCTAACAGGCAGGGACAAAAGCAAAATCAAGTCTTCTCTCCCAAAAATGGAGTGGCCTTTCTGGTTTTGCTTTCAAAAATAGCCCCTTGCGGACTCTGCACCGGGGGATGTTTCTCCGTCTCTGCCCTCGACTGATCGGGGGGCTGAGGATGTGCACCAGGTCGTGCACGGCTTGGGCTTTCCGTGCCTCTGCTTTTCTACCAGCAGACCTCCCAGCTCCCTCTGCTCTCTTTAAAAGGCCATTTGTCTGGGTTTTTATTCCTCGCTTGCTGCTAATTTCACGCTGTTTACAGTGGGCAGATGGAGTAATGAGTTTGTTTTCACATCCTGTTTGTAGCTGTGCTCCACATCTGTCTCTGCTCTCTTACCGCAGTGACACTGACATGAAGTTACTCCTAACGTGCAGGAGTAAAAGAAAAATCTGGCTCATCCCGTCGCCTTAACAGACCCTCGGTTCTTCTTATACAGGTATCTCAAAGTGCATTTCGTTGAACGAGGAGGTCTGACTCTCCTCCAAGGAGACCTTTTCCCCTACCGAGGAAATGCAGCTGTGCCTGGGGTGCAGGAGGGTGACGGTGACCCCAAGTCGAGTTGGGAAACGGTGAACGAAACGACTGGAGAGCACCAACACCTGCCACTCAGCCTTTCTGATCCATCAACACTTGGGCTTCAGGTATTTTAGGAGGAACCGCACCGTTCCATATGGTGCTGTTCAACCTGAGGTTTTGGGGTACATCCCTCTCTCCTCCCATTTTTATATGGGGCGTGAAACCTTTTACACCCCTGATTCACACAGTTTCTATGACAAGCCCTCGACTCCAGAACATTTGGTGTTTGCTTTTGTAATATTGACTGCTAAGAGGAGAATAGCTATCCAAAATCTCCAGCAAAGCAATGGGAGTGGCTTATTCCCCCTTTAGGTTGGTTGGACATCTTTTACATAATTCTTCCTAAATCAGGCTTGACAAATCTTGCACAATTGGTACAAGTCTGATGGAAAAGGCTCCTCCATCTCACTCCCCTCCTGCTCAGGCTGGATCTCCTGTGCTCATGCAACCCCATGCTGTGGGATCCCTTCTGCTCTGCCACCTCAGTGCCTGCAGCAATTCAGTGGTCTTCTGCTGACCAGACACATCCCACGCAACATGTCACGGTGTGTGAGAGGCTGTTCCTCTACGAGATTTTTTTCACACGTAAAGGTGGATGGCTCTCTTCATCAAATCACAGGGTGGTTTGGGTTGGAAGGGACCTTGAAGACCATCCAATCCCACCCCCTGCCATGGGCAGGGACACCTCCCACCAGCCCAGGTTGCCCAAAGCCTCATCCAGCCTGGCCTTGAACCCCTCCAGGGATGGGGCATCCACAGCTTCTCTGGGCAACCTGGGCCACTGCCTCACCCCCCGCACAGGAAAACATTTCTTCCCAATATCTCAGCTCCATCTCCCCTCTCTCAGCTTCAACCCGTTCCCCCTCGTCCTGTCCCTGCACCCCCTGACCCAGAGCCCCCCCATCTCTCCTGTCCCCCCCTTTCAGCACTGGAAGGTGCTGGAAGGTCTCCCCGGAGCCTTCTCTTCTCGGATGGGAGGTGTTCCAGCACTCTGACCATCTCCAATGCCAGAGTCCGTCTGCCAGCCAGCACACAGACCGTGTAAATGGCTGGGAGAGGACATTGCACAGCGTACTCCCATCCTGTGCTAACGTGACAGACACTTGCAGAACCAGGATCTAAACCTAAGGTGGGCACCAGACCATCCCTCCGTGTTCAGCTGGGAGAAATGGCCATCACTGAGCAATGCTGATATCCAGAAACTTTGAACTTACCCAGAGCTGTCAGAAGTAGGTTGTTACTGCAGTTGTCCTGGAGTGAAAAATGATGGGAAATGGCACGTGGAAGAAATATTCCTAGTATTTCCCAAATATTCATAAACCACTAGTGATGCATGAATGGGGCCAAGTGGCTAATGCAGGTGGTCGCTGCTAAGCCCTGTTTAGACTGTTTTCAAGTCATGATTTTACAGCCAAGTGCTCAGGATCATCTAAGGAACACATCCTCGTATACAGCTCCAACTTCATTTCCCATTTACTGTTCAAATAGCTGCAGGGTGTGCAGTGGACTGCCCTTCCTCCAAGGGCATACTTTGGATATGCCTCCTGCATACCTTCGATTTTTTTCCAAGAGTGCAAGAAGTTGATTCTTGCAGGTGTCCCCCTCTTCAAGGGTCCTGTTTGCAATGGGCTTGAGGCACTCAGGAGTCCTTGAGGCATGCAAGAGTGGCAATCCCACACTGGGAATTCATCGTCTGCATTGCACTGACATACTC